TTCAAATAGGCTTAAGAATTACCATATGAAGTAACGCGTTTCATTATGGCATCTTCATATTCATGCGGCATTATGCTGCTCTCTGAGTACTATACCCCCATGTCCTCATGAATCCCTCTAGTCCCTGTCTCTCAGGACAGCCAGAACAAGCTTCATTAGGTGGCAGTCAAGTCATGCACAGACCTTCAACCAGGCCACCCAGGAGGCTGCAACCTGATAAGCAGGCCCGAATGTCTTGCCTCCTCTTTTCTTAAACTCTCTAGCCTGCTGTTCTTTCTCTACTTGAATTCTTCACCCCCTTCCTTCCCACTGGTATGCTTGCTTCTGCCTTCCAATTACCTGATTTCTCCTTCCCCTTCAGGGTTGAGCTTACAGTGCCACCACTTCCTCCAGGAAGCCTTCCTTGATCTAAAGGTTTCTCAAACCTCAACACTATCGACATTTGGAGCCCAATAACTAAAGTGAGGGCAGGGCAGAGCTGTCCTGTGCCTTGTAGGATGCTTCTTAACAGCCATTCTCAACCTGTGGGCCGTCACCGCTCCCCCTTCCCCCGAGGGTCAAAAGACCCTTTCACAGGCATCACCTAAGAGCATCAGAAAACACGGATATTTACATTATGATCCATAACAGTAGCAAATTACAGTTATGAAGCAGCAACGAAAATAATGTTATGGGGGGAGGGGTGGGCACCACAACATGAGGAACTGTTAATCTGTTGCCAGTAGCCACACCAGAACAGACAGAAGTCAAAGACCTCCCTGAGGTATGTTTTCAAAGTGACCTGAACTTAGAAGGCAGCAGTTAGTTTCTGGTTTAATTACTGATTGTTACTTTCCTTCCTACACAGCCATTGACACAAGAGTGGGGCTAGCTCAGTCTTGTTCCTGGGATATCTCAGTACCCAAGGCACAGTAGGTCCTCAAAATTTACCTTTGAATAATGAAACTCCAAATAGTCTTTCTGCTTATTGGTCTTTTTAATGATTTTGAAAATCAACTCCATTTAGCAATTCAAAGATGTTCCTCCACTGTATGTGGTTTCCTTGGGGACTTGGGGAAGAGCATTGAAGTCATAGTATTACAGGGTTTGACTGAGCTACAGGGTCAAGTCCATGACCAAGTAGATTATGCAAACTTGCTGGGGGTGGGTCCCAAATGATAACAAATCTATCTGGAGAATTAAAAGCACTGCCAGGGATATCTACAAGTGGCTTAAGAAACAAAAGGGGAATTTGCAAAATAAAAAAAAATTTAAAAAACACAATAAAGCAAGAAAAACGAGGGGAAAAAAGCCCACACACAAAAGAACTCAGAGTTAGGTTTGACTCTTTCTGTCTTCAAATTTCTGACTCACCATAATGAAAAGAATCTGAACAAGACTTGGCTCAGAAGAAAAAAAAATTCAACCCAATTTGGCAGGTGCTAAGAAATACAATCTTGGCTCACTCAGAAAACAGACAGGGATGGGAAAGATAAAGCTAATAGCTATTATTTCACCATTGGTTCAAATCATCTTCTCCACAGAGGTATCAATTAAGATTGAGTTTGGCTGCATGTAATCTCCTGCAATACAAGGCTGCAAGCAGGTGACAGACGGGGCTGGCGTGGCTCTCTGAATCCACCTCGTACCCAGGCTGTTTCCTTCCCTCTCCTTGCTTTCCATTTTCAAGGTAATCTCATGGCCAAAATGTGACCTTCAGAGCTCCAGCCATCCGATCCACTCAACCCAACCAGAAGGACGATGAGACAAGCCTTAAAAGATCTATATCGTGGCTGCACCAAACACTTTAAATGGGCATCCCCGTAATCCTCACAGATATAGCCTTGGTCACCCCAAATTGCAAGAGCCACTGAGAAATATCTCCTGATGACATCACCCATACCCCTCCACCCATCCTTTTAAACCCCATATAATCCAAATAAGCCTGGCTAGGAAAAGAAGAGCCAAAAGCTACAAGGTAGCTGACAGTCTTTTCTATGATGGATTCAGTATGTTAAAACTGTGTACCACAGCAAAATTTCCAGGGGCCTATCAAGTCCAAACCTTGAGTTCTGTATAAAACAATGAAGGTTCAAAGCCATGCAGCTAATGAATGGTAGCCAAGAGTCTGTAAATCTCACTCTGGAACTCATTCCAGACACTAGAACTGGATCCGCCATGAATTCTGTCTGCATACACAAAGGTTTAAAATAAAATTTCTATATTGACTCTCCTCAAAAAAGAAGAAATAAACGTGCTAGTGTGTGAGGAAACTGCCCAGTCAGACACTGTGTGGCCACTCCTAAATGGCTGTGTGTAAACCTGGTGGTGGTGGTTCACACTTTAACCCTAGCACTCAGGGGGCAGAGGCAGGTAGATCTGTGTGGGTTCGAGGACAGCCTGGTCTACAGAGAGTTCCAGGACATCCGGAGCTGTTACACTGAGAAACCCTGTCTCAAAAAAAACAAAAAAAAAAAGGGGGGGTAGGGAGTGGAATATAGGGCACTTCTAAACCATCAGAATTATTCAATGACTCAGAGCTCATGTCTCCCAATAGAATCCTAAGTGGGGGTCACATCTTTAGACGTTTTGTTGTCTCTCCCCCTTATATCAAAGTATAGAACAATAAACACGTAGCCTGAAAGAAAGAAAGCACCCTTACTCCTGAAGTCACTTCACACAACCCAGGATTCTCACAGGGACTTGGATTTTTTAAGGTTAGTTTATTTTTATTACATGTATATGAATAATTTGTGTGTGTGTGTGTAGTCTGGATGTGTACCACATGTGTGTGTGGTACCCATGGAGGTCAGAAGAGGGCATCAGAATCCCAGGAACTGGAGGTACAGATGGTTGTGAGCTGCCATGTGCTGGGTCCTGGGAACTGAACCCTCTGGAAGACCAGCCGGTGCTCATAACCACCGAGCCATCTCTCCAGCCTCTCACAGGAACCTTTTAAGGAATTTTATGTCTCATTTATTGTGCTTATCTAAAGACTTCGTGAGGTTCGGAGGCATCTCTAAAAATGTGTTGACATTTTAGTTCATTCTGAATGTCCTTTGCTATATTACAAAATCAAATATCCCCTTAAGGGCATTAAAAAGTAGACACAGAAATAACTAATGTAGCTTTCAGTCTATACGCTGCATCTGTGATATACAAATATTATTATTAAATGCAATGCTACAAATAGAATGCTAATTTCAGCTACCACCCACCCATTTGGTTAACTGCAAACCCTCCAGGCAATGTGGCAATGGAGGCAGCCTGGTCACCCAGTTTCCCACACTCCTGCCTGTTCCTCTCCCAGGGCTCCACAGGGCTCTCATCCACCAATGAGCTCTGGCCAAATTCCCCATGATCAATTGCCACTTTCTGGGTCCAAGGTGCCCTAACATTTTAAATTCAGTGTTGCCAAATTAATCATGTGAGTGAACAATTAATTACGAGCTAATCTAGCTCAATTTTCTCACACTTAGTGAGCACCTGAAGAAATGCCAGGGGTATTCAGAGCAAAACAAAAAAAGTCCCTATTTGGAAAGCATAAATCCAAATAAAAACGAGCTGTCAAGGCTCTGTGAGCTAAGTCTTCCCTTAAACTGCACTATTCTGCCATTTCTAAAAATCTGAAATTCTGCCTTTTCAGAAACAGGAAACACAGGTAAGTCAGGGTCAGAGACAGGATTATAACGACAAGCTGAAAAAAGTCTTTTTCCCGTGCTTTCAAACTTGAACAAATATCATAAAAAGTCATTCACGGTGACTTTTTAACTTTTTCTCACATCATCTTAGCTAACGGGGAGGAACCACCTTCAGGAAAACCGGGGACTGCCTGAGACCAGTTCTCTGATTTTCGCAGGGAATCCTCTCATAGGCCCCAAGGCTCAGCAGGGCACCCCTGGTCCCCCTCCCTCTCCTAGCCCAACCGCTTTAGGAAGAAGGCTGGTCAAGTTTGTAGGATCCTGGGGAGGGGGGAGGGGGCCCGGGAAATTGCACGGGATAAGGATACAGGATGGGGGACCCCAAGGATCACAGGGGGCACCGTGGCGCACAGGGTGTGCTAAGGGCTGAAGGTTGTGTAAGGCTGGGTGGGGTCACAAAAGACTCACTGTGGGGCGCACAAGGTACTCAAGGCAGGACAGAGAGGGCATGACTGGAGACTTGGGAGGCACACAGTGGGACACAGGTCATGCACAGCAGGGCATCCAGGGTGCATACGGTTGAGCATGGGAAGGGGATACCCATGGCCGGACGCGGGCTGTGCCCAGCCGGAGGAACTAGGACCGGACGCAGGGGGTGAACAAGGTGGAAAGTAGGACGCACAGAGAGAGGGATTGGGGTATGCACCGTGAGGCGGGGTGGGGGATACACATGGATGGGAGTGGCCGAACACGGAGGGACTCGGGATTTGCACGGCGGGGCGCGGGATGTGCATAAAATGGGGCGTAGGGGTTAACAGCTAGGGGGATGCGGTGCACACCAGCATACACGAGTGAACAGTTGTGGGGAGCAGGGGGTGCTCAAGGTGAGGAGTACGGGGTGCGCACCGCGGGACGCATGGGGTGCACACAGTGGGGCGCAGAGTGCCCACGGCGGGCCGTGGCACGCAGGCGGTGGGGCACGAGGTAGATACGGTGGGGCGCGGGATGCACTCGGAGGGACGTTCGGTGCACACTGCGGGGCGTTGGGGCCGCACAGGGCGGGGTGCACATAGTGGGGCGCGGGGTGTGCACGGCGGGAAGCGCGGGCAGCGGGCAAGGGCGGGCACGGCGCGGCCTCTTGCAAAGTTTCTAGCAGTTGCGCGGAGCAGGCTCCCGACCCTGCCGCGCCCTCCCCACCCGCCCGCCTGCCCCGGCGGAAGAAGGCGGAGATGGAGAGGGCGCGGGCCAGGGGTGGCGCCGCCAGAGGGCGCTGCGACCGGGACGGGGCGGGACGGGGCGGGCGGCAGCCGGAACTGCGCGGGGGCGGCCAGCAACCCCGGGCTCCCTCCCTAAGCCGCGCCCGGGCCGCGCACTACTTACCCGCAGAGCAGCTCAGCAGTGCCAGCAGCGCGGGCGGTCGCATCCCGGCGGCGGAGGCTGCGCGCCCTTCCCGGAGCCGAGCTGCGCGGACGCCCTGCGCGCCTGACCCTTCTCCCGCTCCCCTCCTCCTTCCCGGCGCCACGCCGGCTCGGGCTGCGCCCTCTGGCGGCCGGGAGCGGGAGCGCCCCAGTGTGCGCTCTTAGCAGCCGCGGATGTAGGTGGTCCTGCTGCCCAACTGGACCGCGCCCTCCTCTGGGCATCTGACCTCAGGGTCTCCTTTCTGCCTTTATGCCCTTCCCTTCCCGGTCCTTCTTTCCCCATCCCCAGCAGATCACTCACTCCCCTTACTGTGCCCAAAGTGAAGGAGGAAGGATCATTTTTTTCTTCCCTGCTAATGGACTATATTCTGTTTTCATAAAAAGCAAAATCGATAATTCAACTCTTAATATTGTTGGCACCAATGTTCTTCTTTGATGAAGGTGTTTTTAATCAGCTCAACTAATTTACTTAATACCCTCTTTTTAAGTGGAATTTGATCAATAGCTTTGGCCATAGTTTTGCTGTTAATAGATGTTGATGTAAAGCTAATTTTTTTTTATAAATGTAATTCTGTGTGTTCACCATGATGGAAGAGGGGGATACACTTTTATTCAAAATACCCGATGGAAATGAATCAATTAAAAATACAGAGGAGTATAGTGATGTGGGAAAGCCTCATAAGCAAAGTCCCTTCTAGCATAGAGCCATGAAGGGTCTCCCTCCCATATAGGAACAGTTACTGCCTGATGGGCTTACCCAATACATTGTTGTTGGGGAAGTCCTGTGTATATGTTAATAAATTACTGCTGGCCAATAGGAATCTAGATAGGTGGGGCTAGGAGTCCAGGAGGATTCTGGGAAGAAGAAACACAGAACGTTCGAGATGTAACACCATGAGGGTAGGAAGCCCGGAACTATTCTCCGGTAAGAGAAATACTTAGATTAACAATTATGGGGTAATTACATAAGTCAGAGCTAGCCAGTAAGAAACAAGCAAGGCCAACAGCTTCATAATGAATATAGCCTCCTGTGTGTTTATTTGGGACTGACGCGGCTCTGGAACCAAGCTGGCGGGAAGGCTTCTCTCAAAGGAAAAGACTTCTCATAACACATTGTACTGGACTGAAGAGGGAAACTCACAAGAGAAGAATTAGAGGATGCTTCCCAGAAATCAGGCTTTCTCTTGTGTCTCTGAGGACAGGAATAAGACCAAGTGTGCACCCTTGGCTTGAGTCAGGGTTGCCTTTCATAGGACAAATGGATTCAATGGACATTCTCTGCCAATCACGGGTAGAAAGACTCTCAGAACAAGCCTACTCATAAGGACTTTGACGGTCATATTTCTTAGATTTGATGCATCTACAAGTCAACACTTGCAGACTAATGCCAATCTCTTGACTAAGTTCTTACATTTAATGAAGAACAGCATTTAATCTTTTCTAAATCCTTGACTAAATTGCTTTTTCTCCTTGACCCTTCTTGGAAATTTCTAAAACTTCTAGATAGTTTCCCATTTCCAGAGTTGTCTAGCTTTCTCCCCAGGAAATATTCTTTCCCTATGTTAGACACCAGACAATATAAGCAAGATGTAAATTGAGGGAAGAATCTAGTAGCTGAGTAACTCAACTAAAGACTATACTTTGGTGGCAAACACTTTGAGAGCTTAGTGGATTGGAGTTTCCATCGGAATTTATCCTCAGAGTCTGGAGAGATGGCTCTGTAGACAGACTTTCTTTTCCACCACCAGCCCCAAATAATGAAATGAAGACTTCTTATTAATTATGAAATCTTGGCCTTTAGCTGAGGATTGTCTCAACTAGCTCTTATAACTTAAATTATATTAATCTACATTCTGTCACGTGGTGTTACCTGTCTCTCATCTTGCACCTCCTATTTCCCCGTCCTTCTGGCTGATAGCTCCACCTTTCTTCTTCCCAGAGTCCTCTCTGCCCCCGGAAGACCCACCTAATCTCTATCTGTTGGCTGTTCAGCTTTTATTACACCAATCATAGCAATATGTCTTCACACACTGTACAAATATCCCACAACATGGCTCAGTGTTTAAAAAGCATGTACTACTCTCCCAGACAACGCGAGTTCTGTTCCCAACGTGCACATCCATTGGCTCATAACTGCCTGTAACTCAAAGTCCAGGGTGATGTGACGCCTCTGGCTTCCACAGGCACACACACATATGCATGCCTACAAGCAGGCTCACACGTCTATATAACATTTATTTTAGTTATATGTAATTGAAATCAATAAAATACAAATGTTTACCTAAAAACTTCACCATGATACAACACTGTTGTACTCCAGGACAAGTGTGGGAAATTACACTGTAAGGACAGGAGCAGATCCTTTACGAGATGAACCTGCCCATCTTCTGCCCCTCTACAGAGGATGATAAGCGGCTCATCACATGCTCCATAGCTCACGTTTGAAAAAGGACTGTCTTTCAGTGACTCTGGTCCTATGATAAATACACTCCCTGGAAGTCCTCTCCTGATCACTAGTAGAAAGACCCCCAGAGGAAAGCTGCTCACAGTGGTACTGACAGACACATGATGAGGCTTGCCTGTAACATGAGGGGGGCAGTTCTCCACAGGAAAAAATAAATCCCCAACATTCCAAGATGGTGACAGGGAGAAGAGCGGGTCATAGTTCTATTTTCTTGGGATTCTCTCACCTTAATCTGCATTGTCACCCCCACACACACAAGTTGGCTTCTGGGATTGCCCAACTTTCCTTGTTGGAGGACAGGGTAAGAAGCACAAGGTAGCACAAGCCATCTCTCCTTGAGGACCCTACAGAAACATGATTGGAACAGGATTGTGGTTTTTAAAATAATTAAAATTTAAGTAATTTAAAACAATCTGTTTAAATACCTAAGGAAAATAATGCAAATACATATTCATAAAGTCATTGGTAGCCAGCAGTCTAATTAACAACTTCTCTATGGATGGTTGATCTTAAAGCAACACCAGGTTCTTAAGGCAAGAGTCTTCATTCAAATAACAGTGTACTATTGACTGATGGAGTCTTTGCTAGGCCCTGAGACATGTACTTGGAACTGAGCCCAAGAAATCCCTAGTCCAGTTAAAAAGACACAATGTCCCTAACCTGCCACACAACCGATGATTCGGCACAGGTAGGTGGCAGGAACACGTTGGAACACAGAGTAATATATGGCACCTGTCAAACCCTTTGGAACTCATCAAAAAATAGAAGTGACTTTTGTGTAGCTTCTTAAAAGAGAAATAGAAAGTCTCTGGGCTGAGGGAATGAGGGGATCTGTCTGGTCCCAGGCAGAGGTATGGCATGCAGTGAGATGGACTAGGAGAAAAACTTCTGGATCGGCTCCCTCCAGCCTGCTGCCTCTCTCCTGTGAGTCTGAATGGCCCGGCCCTCAGGCCTCCCCCTGGACAGTTTCAGATGCTTGCTGTCCTTCCAGGCCTGGTTTCAATCCTGAAACAAATTAGTAACTGGCACATCCCGGGAGGTCCATTCTTTTCCCAAACCAGGAAGTGTCTTTCTGAGTTATAAGGATACCGAAGGATTATTTCCCAAACAAAAGTCAGGCCTGGAATCTGAAGGAAGACTAGAGAAGCAAGAAGTAGTTCTTTAAGGCTTCAGCTTATTAAATCAGACCTGCAATATAATATTTAACCACTGGCTAGTATAGTGCTTTTCTGTCAGGACTGCCAGCACTCAAATAATGATGTGGAGACTTTAGTAGTTATGGAACTTTGGCCTTTAGCTTAGGCTTGGCTCAACTAGCTCTAATAACTTAACTAACCCATTTATATTAATCTGCATCCTGTCACGGGCTTGGTGCCTCTCTTCCAACTTGCACCTCCTGTTTCCTCTCCATGTCTGGCTAGTGACTTTGCCTTTCTTCTTCCCAGAGTTCTCTCTGTTCAGAAGCCCCGCCTACACCTCCTGCCTCTAGCTATTGGTCATTCAGGTTCTTACTACACTGATCACAGCAATATGTCTTCACACAGTGTACAAATAGCCCGCAATATTTCCACTTTTTGTCTAAATAACAAGGAAACATTTTAACTCAAACATAGTAAAACTATATACAATAGGATCAATTATCAAGTAAGAATTACATTTACAATGTCAGTCCATTTGTATTTGTCAAATTTGGAGGAATTATTTTCCTATCTTGATGAGTCTAAAGTTTTACACCTAAACCATTTTTATCATAACTTGTAATATCATTCTAAAAATATCTGTTTAGACCTTAAAACATTTCCTTAGATAAACAACTTAATCTTTTATGTCTCTCAACCTTATAAACTTTACACCTCTTTGTGAGTTTCTTTTCTGAGTTTGGTAGCAAGGAAAACTGTAGCTATAACTATCTAGTCTTCATCCCCACCAAAGACCTGAGGAGGATATAATATCACCTGAGTGAACAGGAAGTACAGAGCAAGAATCTTCTAAAATTACAGAAATGACAGAAACAGCTGGCTGCCTGGACAGTCACCCAAGGTTCCTCTGCATTGTTGGAGCATGCATCTTCAGCCTCTAGTCCTGGAATACCTGGCAGGCTTTTCTATGAAGCAGGAATTTTGAAGGACTTCCCTACCTTGTCTTGGCAAAGTTAGGCAGTCACTTTCATTTGTGTTCTGCTTGTCCAGTTTGTACAGCATACTGTCAGCAGTTGAGGAAAGGGCAGTCTCTTGCCCAATCGCTAACTTTGCCACAATAAAAGCAAACTCCGTATGGAGGTTCTTCAATTCCCAGAATCCTTTTCTGAAGCAGACTGGTGCTGCCAGGAGCAGATGTGCCTCACTGTCATGAAAAAAGCCTTGTGCTATTAAAACACCTTAAATGCCATATTCTGTTGGCATACCTTATATGACTACAACTTTGATTGTTATAGATGACTAACTACTAATCTGCATTTCTTAATTATTCTAAACAGTTTGCAATAATAGCTTTCAAGAACTGTAACTTTACATTGCATTTTTAAATGAGCTGAATAGGTACAATACCTTAAACAATAATAGAAGCATATATACTGTATAACAAAAAAAAACTTAAATTTGTATCAATATACAAAAATCCATACCAATATAAAATATTTTAGATTAATA